ACCTGTAAAAATGATTACTGGTTGCCTATAGTAATGACCTCCGACTAAGCCTCTATCACATAAGAATGACCAATTCCAATCTAACTCTTTCAATTGATCACAAAAGAGGGAGAAATCCATGAATTTTCATATCCTGACTAGAGTGTTTACATATAGGCTAGTGACTGCCAGCATAGATGAATATCAATGACTTTTCCCCCTGGTGATGAGAGTTGCTAACTAATGAAGGCCCTGATTGGGTGCCAATCAATGTGGCATTTGAATTATACACACAACGCTGCATTTTGATTAATAAAAGAAAAGACCCCTTACACCTTTATTTTATGAAACACCTGAGATCTGATGAATATAAAAAATTTACCATCGAGTGGAAACAATGTAATGCAATCAAAAGATATTGACATATGATTGAGACCCTTACTAAAATTTGCATGGGGTTGTATAGACCAAATGAATATTAGAGAGTATAAAAAGTAAATCCATCCTTAGCAATCACCCATTTTAAGGAATGCTAGTTCTAAAATTTGATTTAGTGACAAGAACATGAAATTTCTACCCACTAACTCTTTCAAGAGGCTTATTCACAAGACAGCTTTAATCCTCCAAATGCAGGGCTAGGCAACAAAGTGCTGATATTACAGACAGGCGAATACTTTTCTGGCAGACAGAACATAACCCCATTTCCTCCATCTTATCACGGTTCAAACACGCTCGAATCCATGTCTCTGCTTCCCTGCAGACTAAAACAGAATTTCATTCTCAGTTAAATTTGAGGTCAACAAAGAAGCTCCGATGAGGGGCATATTTTCAATATTGTGTTTCCTTTATTATGTTCCCCAAACGAAGTTGGGGAACATATTGTTTTTACTCTGTTTCTTATTATTATTATTTTTCTTCTCGGGAAAATTTTGTCCGCGAATGATCTTGTAAACTACACATCCGATTTAGGTGAGATGTTTTTAGGGTCAGTAGACATGTTATGTAGATTTGCGGAATCAAGGTCATTTTGCGCGCACGTGCTTGCAAGAGCGCGCACGTGCAAAACTTGAAATGACCAATATATAATGGATAAAACCGTAACTTTTCTATTTTTTAACAAAATGTTTTGAAACTCATAATGTAAGGATATATTAGTAGTATGCAGAAGATGACATGGTCAAAATAGCAAGATCTCACGCGCATGCACGTGCGCTTTGCTCTGATTGGCTGAAACTAAAGTCTCAATATCTTTCTTGTTTTTTGATAAAATCATTTGAAATTTTGAACATAGTCATACATTAGGGAGATCTACAGCCTGTAATATAAGAATTATCATGAAAGCATGTTCATGCACGTGTGCTTGCAAGAGCTCGCACGTGCAACACGAGAAATATAATTGATACAGACGTAACTATTTAAGTTATTGATGATATGCTTTAAAACTCATATTAGAAGTATATATTAGAAGCATAGACAAGGTGACATGGTCAAAAAAGCAAGATCTCACGCGCATGCACGTGTGCTTTGCTCTGATTGGCTGAAACTAAAGTCTCAATATCTTGCTTGTTTTTTGAGGAAATCCTTTGAAATTTTAAACATAGCCATGCATTAGGATATCGTACAATATGATATATAGCAATTATCATGGAAACACGTGCATGCATGTGTGCTGCAATCTGATTGGCTGAAACTTTTAATAGCTATAACTCCCTTGGTTTTCAACCAAACAGGATGGGGTTTGGAACATAGATAGATATAATGGACTTCTACAAGATGGTATGGTCACCATGCCCATGCATACACGCGCATGTACGTGTGCTGCAAACTGATTGGCTTAAACTTTAAACAGCTATTACTCCCTTGGTTTTCAACCAAACGTGGTGGGATTAAGAAACATTTGGATTAAATACTTTGTTATTTAGTGTAGATTGTGTAGACAAGATGATATGGTCATTATGAACATGCATTCACATGCGCACGCATGCAATGCTAAAATTTGAATGAACTTGGTACACTTCTGGGTAAAAATTGTTAAAGTCTCAAATGCATAGAGTTTGTCTTATTTAATGAAGCTTACAGGGAATATGGCACCAAAAGGGAGTTGGGGAGCGTTTGGGGAACATCTGTAACGGTCCCCGTTACAATTAGCACTAGTTCTTCTTGAAGACCAATCTAAAAAAATGTTTATTCAATGCAAGAACCAAGGTCTAAAAGGTCCTTAGAAGGTTTTCCAATCAACTTGTGTTTACTTAAGCATGTTAACTTTGATACTTGATTCAACTTTTTGCAAAAAAACTTTTTGAGAAAAGGGTAGCTAACTTTTAAAGTGTTTACCATCAGCGTGGAATGTGTTTGCTCAATCACAGGTCATTAATCTTCAATCAGCTCCCCGGGATGGAGGGTATATTTAGAAGGTATTAATGCTGCTTTATGTAAGCTGTATATATAACTGTAATTCTTCTACCCATTCAACACATGCTTTGTTCCCTCTGCTGAGGTGTAAACTGCTATGAAAACGAGTCCCATTATCGCCAGATTGTCAAAAAATTCTATCTGAAGCTGCAGGAACTGGGGAGAATTGTACAATTTTCACATACCAGCAGTCATTTCCCACCTATTTACTGACAGAGAACTCAACGGCAATCATCTCCTATTTATAGAGTAAGGCAGGACTGTTTGTTACCCAGTTCCCTAATCCCTGATGTAGAAAAATAAAGACTGTGTCTTCACGCAAAAGATGGAATGCTAATCATAAACATTTACATTTCAACCTTGCTTGCCACAACACACATAAAAACAAAATTTATTAATAAAGCCCCAAATTCTTGCAATGGAAAGTTCAGCTGTTTAACAGAGCTCTGTGGCACAGACAGACAGGCCTCAGCTGCAGAACAATGACAACACTCCAACAGCAAGTGGCACAAAAATAAACAGGCAGCCCCGTAGAAAGCTCCCAATGAACTGTGATGCCAAGCACCTGGTTTTACAATTCTTTAGCTTGCATGATGTCAGCAAAGAGAATCTTTGTGCTCTTTGAGCTCTTTACAAAGTTTGAACTCGGTAGCATCTTCTTGCTCCATCTCTAATGATGTGTTTACAATCTGCTATTCTGCTACTTCAAACTTTTGCTCTACTGTCAATGTCTTTTATCCTATGCACCTCATTAGAAGTAAACTTGTACTGGCATTCCTTAAATTCTATCAATTTTGTTGAGTTCAATCAATTCTTCACTCCTCCTATAAATTTCATTGCTTTGCCCCCTCCCCCTTATTTTTACTACAGTGTACAAGCCTGCTTTATTTGATCTCTAATATCTACTGACCCACCTGAGGAAGAGTGCATTTTTTCACTTGTCCATAGCTCTGTTCTTCTACACATACCCCCAGGAGAACTTCCACGTGACTTATAATCCAGAATCACAAATAATTCAACAGAGAGACTATTTCAAACGTAAATATCCAAAAAATCCCAGAATCATTCACAATTTCTTCTTTTTGACCTCCTGAAACCTCTAAAATCACTAGTATGTGCACATAATTAGCCAATGAAACTAATCGGTATAACAAAGTATTTTGTTCTTTTTTTTAGAAAAATATTTATAACTACATGTTCTATATAAACCTAGACCAACAACCCCATATCTACCAACTCTAAAGTCTACAACTATACAAAGACTAGAGAAAGGACTTTTTAATGTGAAATACCTAATTAGTACTATCAAATGACCAAGACAACTATATGATACTAAGAACAACTACATGACACTATGTACAGTTATACTTATGAACTGTATTCTCAAGACTTTCTGCAGCTCTGACAATACACATTTCCATACTATTCTAGACTAGTAAGTTAAAAACTAGTAAGCATACCAAAGCCCATGTATAAAGAAAAGACTAAAATTTCTGTACTACCATGACTATAAAATTATTTCTAGTTACATGCATATTCTAAAAAGCTGGTAAAACTATAATGCACAAATCCCTCTTGAACACTTAATATTTTCTTTCAAAGCCTTGCATAAGGACTTGAATGAAAAGAGCTGTTAAAAAAAAAAAAGAGAAATCTAAATTTTCCTTTGCATAGTCTGATTGGGAAGAGTGTTTGGCACCAGCAAAATTACTTTCACTAGCACAGCAATTACACACACACACTCCAAGAATGCCAGCCTGATTAAAAATAATGATTTCATGATAGATGGAGTTGCACAAAGTCTTATTTCGTCTCAGGGCGAATCCCTCTACTTATACAAAATGGTTTATTGATGGTGTCCATTTTAATGTCATTAATTAAGGGGGCACCAAAAAAAACAGCACAATCATAACATAGGAATATGACCAGTTCTACTAGAACTCAGCCAAAGTAAATAAAACATGGTGGTCTCAGCTCCTAATAGCTTGTCAAGATTTACTCTCTCTGAAGTGAGTACTTGCGTAGTTGTTCTACATGTAATTTCTTTGCTTTTTTCATGTTATCATCAACTTGCCCTTGACCCTCTATGGAATAACTATTAAAACTTGCTTTTGGACGTCATCAAACCTGAATAACGCATGATTCCGCAAATCCACAGAACATACGGCCAAGTCATAGAGAAAATATATATATATATATGATTGCTTAAGCGTGTTATAAAAGAAAATTCCAAAATAAGAGTTCAGCTTAGATAAGCTTCAACTTTCCTTTTTTTTTATCTGCTTGTTCTTATCAATCAAAAAGTTAAAACGAATGGGGTTTTCAGTATCTGATTAGCAAAAAGTCTGTCTGCTAGAATGACAGAAGAAATATCTCAGGAGTATCTTCTGCATTTACAACTAAATTTTTATTTTTAGTTGGACAAAATAGCTGTAAATAATGTTTTACCGATTTGTGTGGGAGTGTAACTATGGTAACCAGCAAGTTTGCCATATTCTTTTTTTCCCCCCCAGACTAATAGTTACAAATTGAATGTTTCATTCTATCAAAGTCTCCAGTCCATCAGATTTGCTGAGGGTGATCATTAACAGACCCATTGCTTCAATTACCTCTGTGACGATTTGTTGTCTTGTCAAACATAAGCATGGCATCTTCAATCTAAAAAGAAAAAGAGAAATAAGATGCATAAGTAACCATGGTGAATTTTAATTAAATTATAACTCATTAGTGTAAAGATGCTTAGGATATAAATATAAGTCCCTAATCAGTACAGACATCACTATTGTATAATTATTTTTCACAACATCAACAATTTTCCACCAGACATACGTTTATAGACTTTTAATGTAAAATGGCCATAAAAGGGGAAAAACAGGTATAAATTTCATGTCAACTGTAAAAATGAGCAATGACAATGCAAAATATTTAACAAATCTCTGTGGGAAATTAAAAAAAAATTGTTTAACAATGCACAAATCAATGAATGGAATTTTAAAATTTGGTCCCTTTAAGAACCATAAATGTTTTCAGAATTGCACAAGATTTAAAAAGATTTATTTTTATGTATATGCTAATCAATTAAACATAATTAAAACATCAAATCATGGCTTTTATGTCAGACATGATGATCTAAATAGGATCTTCAAGTCTTAATCATTTCCCCCCAAGGATAACATCGCAAAAGCTTGGCAGAGAGAGAGAGAAAACTAACGTGTGCATTCAAGTTTTAGGGGAATTTTGAATTCAGTCTGAGTGAGACTCATTAAAATAGAAAATGGAATATCTGGAAGCAGGATCATCAAAATACAGACTATGACAATTAAAACTGTTAGCATCCTAATGAAGGCTCAGAAGGGGATAGATGGAGTTTCTGACTGATAACTAAACTTCATCACTGCTCTACAAGCACTGGGAAATGAATGCAGCCAGGCTTCATTACTATTGATCATCCAACACATAAAATTAACACACCAAGTGTGTCTTTTGTGATTGTGGTATATACCAATTCAAAATTATCTGGCCATCAATGCTGCTCACAAACAATCAATACAGACGTTTGTGATCACCTCATTTCCAATGGCCAGGACTCGACAACTCTTCTCCCAACATAGTTATACGTAGTTCCAAACTGCCCCCATCTACCCCCAATAAAAAAAATCATGTGTGTCTTATTGGTTCCTCAAGAGAAATAACATTTTTGATATCTTTTTGTACTGATGACAATAAAAATGTTCCCCATAAAGAACAGAGCGAGATCCCCCAAGACAATTAACCTGCAATTAAGTACAAAGGCAAAGAATATTGTTACATAATTTCTCTTTATTTATAGTACACAGTCCCTTTATTTTATGAGCCAATCATGACAACAAAAAAGCTATAAAATGATACAATGATTTTGGCTGCAATATAAGATGCTTGGGAGAAAAAGTTTAGTGAAATAGGTGTCACGGCCCTCTGGGGGTGACATAAGCTAATTTACACAGCAAAAAAATTCTGATTTTTACCATCTCCATATTTAAAGGGGCAGTAGTGAATATACATGCATTTCCCAATAATATTGTGACTAAGGTCTTTCAGCTTGGTTTGTAGACAAAAAAGACTTGAAACAATAGTGATTGGTTGGGACATTTTGCTTGGATGGTATCTGCACTTCCGCTAGTAAATGGCTGCTAATGCCTGTATTGTTTACACGTCAGATAAAATGCTTCATGACAAAAAGACAAAAACAAGTGTTAAACATGAGCCTTAAAAACTTTTTGTTCATTAAATGGAGGTAAAAGAAAATGCTTTACAAATGTGGCTCACGTTTTAAATATCATGCAGCAAAATATGGCAAATTTATCATTCCGAATACCTTGAAATGATCAATACATATAATTTATATTAAACTTTCATTGATAGCATAAGACCCTGATTAACAAACGCTTCTTTCAACTTACAAATTTTAAACACCTGATTAAAATAAAATTGAGCCATCCAAAGCATTTAGAACATTACATAACACATTAACATTTCATCTTTAAATCGATCAGATTGTATTATAAACGAATTCAACCAGGATTCCTTTTGAGATCTACCAGCCATCTGTGACCACGTGCACGGCCTTAACCGAATCCAGTACAATGTTGGTGATCTCCTTAAGTTCACCCAGTCCAATACCACCAAAGGAAGCAGGACTCAAATTTCACCCTACGACGGCATGTTAAAATCTTAAGGCCAATCAGACATTCATTTTAAATAAATGGTACCCTTTAGTTTCTGGATAGGGGGGACAAATTTAAGATAACATTACTAACTGTAGGTTATTGACTTGTTGGCCAATCTTACGTTCTGTCCTAATCTTGGTCATGCATACAATGTGTGTGCAAACTTTCAAATTTATTTTCTACATTGCCTTTTTAATAAAATAATTCTTGTCAAATAATTTCTTTTATTCGATACCTAATAATTTAAAAATGAATTTTATTAAAAATATGATTGCAGGGTGGGAAGAGGGTGGGTTCCAAAGTTGTTCTTAATTTATTTGGTCTTTAATTGAACTTGAGCATTATATCATTCTAATAAATGAAATTAATTTCATTTTCTAAGGACTTCAGTGTTGACTTAAAGCAGAAAGCTTATTAAAATTGAATGCATGTTCATACAGAAATCTGCACGCGTATGGCAAGTTAAGTGTTGAGATGACAAAAAAATTGTATGGCACATTAATCTCTCTTCATTTCTAGAATAAACACAGAATGGAAATCTGCTTCTATTTTTTGCATACATCTGCCGAACATTCGATTCTTAGGCTTTGCAAAGGACACGTTTGAGAAAACTTTATCAGGCATATTTCCAATAATACAGGTTTTGATGGACAAGAAATTTGGTTGAAGAGTTTGGCTAGCAGCCATTCTAAGTGAATGCATTCACTAATTGCATCCCAGTCACAATGCAATTTCTTCACTGAGCTTGTCAATGATGATAGAAAAAAGCCTCTTTGTAGAAGGGCCACTGTCCATATCAATCAAAGATCCCTTACTGAAGCAGCATCAATGTCATCCCAAACAAAATCATCATCCATTTGGTCCCAATCTCGGTCCTGAATGCAGCTTTAACCACCCTTCTTTAGGCCTTGCAATCTACTCATCATTCAAGACTAATATGATTGCTAGGGATAATACTGGCTGAACTCTCAACCCCCAGCATAAACAAACTTCAAGACCACTTTTTCCAAATAAAGAAATTACATTTTATTTCAAATGTGACCCTTGCTAAGGCCTCCGACACCTATGCATTTCTTGTCAATTATAACATTCTATAAATAATCGGGAAGACATTTTGAACCTCTGTTATGAGTCATGCCACTTAACTTTTCAAATTTGAAATAATTTGATGGTTCAATGTTATTGCGGTGATCCGTCATAAAACTGAGGTTCCTAGCTTCACCTTTTGTTTGGGAATGCAGATTTTTTTGATAAAGTAACACATTCACATTTAGAAAAGCCACGGTGTTTGTTTGAAGAACTGGTAAATGTGTGTGGTTGTTTTTGATTGAGACAGCCCAGTCTGGTCTTTAATAATGAGTCAAGCCTCGGAAATGATTGATATATATTACATACGTCATTCTTAACACATTAATAGACTTATGATCCTTATTTTCTTTAATATTTCTACTGTTATACTGCTGAATGTTGTTTTTATTCCTATTTCCTTCAATTCTTTATACCTTGTTTAATACCAAGGGGTTTTCAATGATAATAAATTGCCATGCTTTCAACAAACATGTTATCATCCTATAGGAACACTGACCAAAACCTGGGACATTGTCCAAATATTGGATTTGATCCCTGTGAAACACCGCAAATCATGACTTCTCCTAAGATATGTACATCCCTATCAATGTTGCCAAGGGCAACCAAGATTTTATAGATTTTGGTATTAATCACACAGATCTACGCATTAAACCTCACATTAAAAGAAGATTTATTTGAATGGAAACAACACAAAATACCTTACAGAGTAACTTGGCAGTTTTCTGCCTACTGAATCAATTTAAAAATCACCAATGATAAAAGGTTACCTATTACTCTCTCACACAATCATACACGAATGTAAAATTTAATTTCAAATCAATATCTTGTCTTGCACAATCTATTTTTCAATTGACATATCAATTTTACATATCTTAGCAACTGTTTCATTATTTTACAATAGCCTTTCACAGGAGAGAGCAGTGATTGGGATTGATAAAGTGTCACAGAACAGTTGCCCTTGTCATCTATGTCCGTCTGGTCATCACAGGAGGTGCCAGCTGCCGGGAGCAGAGACTCCACTGCTGTTGTGATACAGTTCATGCACGGCACTGCCGAGAGCTCTAATGGCTTCTGACAGAGAACAAAGCCAAGGTGAGAGATAATCAGATAGAGCCGTGATTAGCTTCAAAATAACAACAGCATTCCTGGACAAACTTCCTACATTTATTGGGTCATTATATTCCTAAATGCTTAGCCTCTTTACCATCAGGCTTCACAGACAATTATGACTATTTAAGTCTTATATAATCAGTTGAAGTATCCAAAATACCACAATCAAGCATCTCATCTCTTAAAGTACAACGTTACTGGGGTAAATTTTTATTCCAAAAGTCTGTGATATGAAGCCCCTTGACAATGATGGAATAGAGGCATCAAGCAACCATTTCCCGTTATTAATGAAAATTCCCTTCTTACTGAGTTACCTCCCTCAAGCCCTTTCTCCGGCACACAAGGTCCCCATCCATATAACAAAGCCCCCCCCACTCCTACCTTTATTTGCCAACCATTTAATCCAATCAATTTTACTTTGTGTCAAAATATCTTTTAACAACAAAAAATTAATTACAATATGAAATGTTTACATGTCAGAAAAATCCTGATATACAGGCCGTTAGCCATAAAGAGCCAAAGAGAAAGTAAAACCTTGGTCCTCCTTAGAGGGGATTTCCCAAGTTCTAATTACCGAGGAGAAAGCTTACATTACCAGAACTATTGGTCTCAGTGGCAACAAAACTTGTCAATATCCAATTATAACAAAAACATTTATTTATTCAAGTTTATTCTATCCCAAAACTACTTTCTATGAAAGTCATTAATAATTACACAGGGACCAAGAGTTGTCATAAAAGCCAATAGTTATTT